ACAAAATTACCGAGTGTGGGGAGGCCTTTTACAGTGGAAAAAACTCATTACACATCTGGTGAATGTGAGAAAGCTTCCACCACAAAGACATTCTTGATCACCATCTCAGAGTCTGCGCTGGAAAAAGGCTTTATGAGTAGGAAAGCGTTTTCCGGGAAATACTCACTGGTTCAGCTCCAGGCAGTCCACACTGGAGAAAGGCCTTAACGAGTGCAATGAATGACGTGGGATATCCTTTTTTTAATTTTAAATTTTACTTATTTTTTTTAGAGCAAGAGCGAGTGGGGGGTGAGGGGCAGAGGGGGAGAGAGAGTCAAGCAGGCTCCATATTCAGCGCAGAGGGACAAGCAGACTCTGCGATGAGCACGGAGCCCCATGCGGGGCTTGATCGCACAATCCTGAGATCATGACCTGAGCCAAAATCAAGAGTCAGACACTCAACTGACTGAGCCACCCAGGCACCCCGGAATGTGGGACGTCCTTTAGCCAAAATTCCTACCTCGGTGACCATTGGACAGTTCGTGCTGGAGAAAGGCCTTATACATGTGGCAAATGTGGTATATCCTTTAGTCAAAGCTTCCACCTTACCATACCCTGCAGAATTCACACTGGAGAAAGGCCTTATGCGTGTGGTCATTGTAGGAAATCCTTTAGACAGCCAACCTCATTATGCATGAGAGAGGACAGTGGAGAAAGGCCTTACAAGTTTGTCAAATGTGGCAAAGCCTTTATGTGCAAATATAACCTTGTTCAGCATCAGAGAACTCAAGAGTGGAGAAAGGCCTTATGACTGGAGCTAATGTGGAACATTCTTCTTTTTTTTTTTTTTCAAGGATTTTATTTATTTATTTGAGAACGAGAGAGAGCACAAGCAGGGGGAGCGGCAGGCAGAGGGAGAAGCAGACTCCTCGCTGAGCAAGGAGCCCGACGCGGGACTCGATCCTAGGACCCTGGGATCATGACCTGAGCCGAAAGCAGCCACTTAATTGACTGAGCCACCCAGGCATTTTTTTTAAAAGCTAAGTTTCCCTTTAAGAAAGCCATGAGTAACCTAGATAACTGATTGCTTGAGTGACCTCCCTTTTCCCTTTTCACACCCTAACGTCCAGCCCACTTTTACACTTTAAATCCGCTTAACTTTAAATCACTATTGGCGGATTTAAAGCATTAGTGAACCTGCAAAACCTGGGCACCCCACCCTTGGACAATAGAGGCGGAGCCCCAGGTCCAAGCTTCCTCTCTTCCTCTCTACCCTTGACCTGCTATGCGGCCCTTGGCATGCCTTGTACCCTCCGGGACCTGTGAGTAATAAATCTTGTTCTTCGAAATTCGCTGATGGTTTTTGCCAAAGTGCAACTTGCAGTCGTAGTAAGAACTACAAGAGCCAGGAGCACCTGGGTGGCTCAGTTGGTTAAGGGTCTGACTCTTGATCTCAGCTCAGGTCTTGATCTCAGGGTTTTGAGTTTAAGCTACAGGAGCCAATCCAACCACGAACATTGGCTCTGTGGGGCTCACCACAAGTAGTATGATCCAGGCAAGTACCTTAGGCATTTCTAGCTGTAGCCTCGCTTTCAATAGGCTGAGACAGACATAGGAGACTTGTTACTATCCAACTGAGAAATAGTTTGTAATGTTTCTCCTTTTCTACCCAAAGAATTAGTGTTGGACTTTCCCTGCACACCAGCCTATTTTCCTTTCATCTACTCCACCTAAAGTCACCCCCTTGGTAATCTCATCCAGTCTCATCTTTTCAATAGCTCCTAGGAAATTACAAACTAACAGTTTTCAGACTTACTTTTCTGTCAACACTACTGTCTAAAATTCTAGAGATGTGCCTGCTGCCTTGACAGCTATATTCACATGCTTAACAGGCATCTTGTACTTAACTATGTTGGTATCTCAATTCCTGATCTTCCCTCCTAACCCATTTCTGCTGCTCTCCCACAATCTCAGCTGATGGCAGTTCACTGATTCTGTTCATGCATGAAGTTTGGGAGTCCTTTTCCACACCTTTCTTATGTTCATGCCCTATCTGCAACCCAGCTGAAAATCCTTTAGGGATTAAAAGAAATAACTTCAGAATATATCAAGTGTCTAATGATGCTGTATCCAGTACCGCTCCAACTTTGATTGCAGACCTCATTCCCTCTCACCTAGATGTCTGTAATAAGTCATCTAGCTAGTCATCCATTGGCTTTTAACCTTACCTCTCTTCACTTACTCAGCCCACCTTCTCTTCATTTCTCATTCAGGCACTTAGCATGATATTCCAGTTCCTGTCATGATTCCTCTATCAATCTGAGTAAAATGGAAAGTTTTTCCAGTGGCCTACAGTGCCTTTCATGATCCAACGTACCTTCTACCAAGCTGTTCCTCACTCACACGCTTTTGGTTGCATTAGCTTTCTTACTCTAACTGGAACATGAAAGGTATGCACTGGCCCAAGGCATTTATTCTAGTTGTTTCCTCTGTGGAACACAAGGCTATACAAATGGTTAACCCCACATTCTTTTATTTTTTTTTTTAAGATTTTATTTATTATTTATTTGACAGAGCGAGAGAGGGAACACAAGAAGGGGAGTGGGAGAGGGAGAAGCAGGCTTCCTGTGGAGCAGGGAGCCCGATGCGGGGCTCGATCCCAGGACCCTGGGATCATGACCTGAGCCACCCAGGCACCCCTCCCCGCCACATTCTTTTATTAATGGAGCAGCCTACTCAACTCTCTTTTTTTTCCAGCTTTATTGAGGGATAGTTGACAAACGCTCTTCAATATCACAACCGATCTTCACTCTCCTGCACTTCTCATTGTTGTTACCCTGTTTTCTATTTCAAAGCACCTATCCCCTTAAAAGACACTATGTTGTTTATATTTACTTTTATTATTTCTGATTAATATCCTTAATATGATTATAAGCAACATGAGATAGGGTTTGTTGTCTTGTTTCCTGAGACATAACCCACCAAAAAGACTAACACACCAATATGCTCAATAAATGTTTATTGAAATAAAAAAAATGAGACACCACTACCTCCTTGTTCATCTTTACTACACTAGAAATGTTTTCTTAATTCTCTTTCTCTGTGTCTCCCTCAAATCTGGTATTTTTAAGTATCCACAAGGATTTTTAAGACATCACATTTGGAGACAAACCCTCAGGATAGCCAGGAACCCAGAATGTAGTCTGCTCACATCATTACCTTATTTTATAGGACAGAAGGTCCTTTGGTCACCTGCTATTGATATTTAAATTATATCAATAATTAAAGATATGTATCCTCCCTGGTATTACTGGCACTTTTTATGGGTAACATTAATATCAGTAGCATTCAGGGACTTGCACATTTTGCAAATGTTTTGCAGAGATCATCTCAACCTTCATGTAGATGCAGTCACAGCAATTAGAGGTGAAATGATAATAACTTCCCAGAAAGAGATGAGATCACAGATACAGAGACCTCTATCTCAGGGCTCATATATTCATTTTCTACACGTGCATCGATACAACCATAACAGCCACTGTCCTGGCAGCAAGTGACAATTTGGTAAGTGCTATTTCCAGATAAGTATCAAATTATAAGAATAGAACATTATGCAAATCATAAATATTATCTTGAAAATCAATTCTGCTTGTTTGGGTTGGGACATAAATACAAAGAGAGGCACTGGGATGGTTTCTGAGGGACCCAGAGACATGTCACCCTTGTCTACTTGCTTTAGGGCTACCTACTTTTCTGTGTTCTCTCTGATAGCCTGAGTTCATCTTTCATCTCTGACCAAACTGACTGATCCTCACAATACCCAGTCTGAAGCCTCCACTATGCATGAAGTGAAGATCAGTAAGAAGGTGTGTTTAACTCACAGCTACTGAGTATTCTTCTAGCATTTCTATAGCCATTATTGGCATACACATTTTTTTTTTCATTTCCAGGCATAATTTGCTAGTGGAAGTTAGTAGGAATATTTTTTTCAACCCTTTACTGATGTTTTCCCAGAGCTATCCTGCCACTATCTTTGAATGACTACATAATCATTAATGGTTTTCAGTGATTTTCATTTCACAACTTTTTCTGAGATAATTGGAACTCCTCATACAGACACCCTCCCTGCAATACAGTAGGAATGATAATAACTTCCCATCAAATGGATGAGATCTTGGTGTCCCAAAACCTTACCTCATGGTATCCCCTTTGCACATGTGCTCCCATATTGGGAACACTGTAGACACCGTCCTATTCCAAAATGACATTTGGTAAGTGGCTCTTTAAATAGTTGTCAGATTCCTAAAAGGAACTGATGTATCTAAGGCTATGGAGTAAGAAATACGGATATAAAACCCATGTTCCTCAGAGTTGGACACGATCATTGAGAGTCATTTTCTGTGGGAACCCAAAACGGAGTTCCACCCTTGTCCTCCTGCTTTACAGCAGCCTAACATCCCTTTTGTATCTTCTCTGTTCTGTCCCTGTGTGGAGTCTTTTTCTTTTGTTCTTGACCCAGCATGCTGAAATTCACAAAACTGACTCTAACGTTTCAAGCTAGAGGCACTTGAAAAGAAAAAAGATAAACTATTAGGTGGATACATTTTGTGTCTGAATGACCCTAGAACAGATTTATAGTCATTGGGAGCATCTGAAATAACACTTTGAGAATTCAGGAGACTGCTAAGCTTCAAGAAGTCTGAAATGTCTCTAAACACAGGTGATCACTTGATCTTAGTCAAAAGGCCGAGAAGCGATAAAACACAGGTGATCAGTGGCAGACAACACTCCTCATAAATCTTTTTTTTTTTTCAAGATTTTATTTATTTATTTGAGAGAGAGAATGAGAGAGAGAGCACATGAGAGGGGGAAGGGTCAGAGGGAGAAGCAGACTCCCTCCTGAGCAGGGAGCCTGATGTGGGACTCGATCCCGGGACTCCAGGATCATGACCCGAGCAGAAGGCAGTCGCTCAACCAACTGAGCCACCCAGGCGCCCCAACACTCCTCATAAATCTTAAGTGCAGCCCCTTGAAGGAGAGAAGGCCCTCCCCCACCCTCGGAAGCTGGAGACACCACCTCTCAGTATCTCTCCCTCTCAGTCCTTCCCCGTGGGTTTCCAGGTGAGCGACGACCGGCGCCAGGGCTTTTCGAGCTGAGAACTACATTACCCAGAGGGCGCTGCGCCGGGCGCCGTCGGCGTGTAGCTAATGAAGGCTCCTGAGAAGGGCAACTTCGACGACCGGCGCCAGGGCTTTTCGAGCTGTGAGAACTACATTACCCAGAGGGCGCTGCGCCGGGCGCCGTCGGCGTGTAGCTAATGAAGGCTCCTGAGAAGGGCAACTTCGTGCGTGCGCATCACGTCGGGGCGGGACTTCGGCGTCCTCTTCGTGGCGGTTGTTTTGGCTGCTCTTAGGTCTGTTCGCTGAATGACACACTTTGATGCGCCGGTGGACACTGAGGTAACAGGACCGGGAAGGCGCGAGAGGAGGCGCTGTCCCCTGGGGTCCGCGGCTGGCGACGCCGCCCGGGCTGCCCCGCGCCGGGACGGGGACCGCGGGTCCGGGTGTCCGCTCCGCCACAGGGTCCGATGGCGGCGGCCGCGCGCAGGGAGCCGGCTCCGGTAAGCGCTCGTCCCCCCACCCAGACCCCCGCGGCCCAGGCCCCGGCGTCCGGGACAGGCAGGCGGCGGCGGGCGGGGGCCCCGTGCGGGAGCGGGCTCCGGGCCGAGGGCGGCCGGGGCCGAGGCTGGAGCGGGGCTGAGGCGGGAGGATTCTGCCCTCGGGGGACAGAGAGGAGCGTGAGGCGGAGTCACGCCCGGACTGCGGGCCGAGGTGCCGTACCTTCGTTCCTCGGGCCCTGGAGGATCGTGAACAGAAGAGAGACGCAGTCAGTGTTAGGGTGTTAACAGCTTTCCAAAAGCTGTTCAAGAGAGTGAACAGGTTGGGATGGGGGTGATGAAGACAAAGAGGCCCCGGAAGTGGAGTTCTTGTCCAGGGTCGCAGAGCTGGGGGGAGCACTGCAGACTGAAGCACAGAGGTTAGCCTGAGGTCACTGGGTTCCAGGGCTGGGTGAGATGCAGGGGAGCCTGGAGCCCCTGGAACCCTGCCGCGGTCACCTGCTTCTCGCAACTTTCCTCTTCATGCAGATTGTTACAAGTGTAGAAGCACTCAGGGAACCCAGAGGAGTGAGTGAGTGAGTGGATGGTGTTCCAGAACCTCACTGGCCCTGATCCCTCTCATGATCTTTGTGACTGTGGTGTCCTGGAACTCTTCACATCATTCTTCCAGGCCTTGGGCCTGGGGACCTGGAACAGATTCTAAGCCCAGGGTCCTCAGATCAGGCTAGAGGTTATATGGAGTGGTTCCTATTGCTGGCAGCCAGTGGAGTGAGGTGTGGAGGAATGTTGCCCCAGCATGGGTACCAGTGTGTGCAGACCCTTGGAGGGGAGACTGAGCTGGATAAGGGAACCTCAGTGTCCTTTCTTGTGGGAACAGAGAGCAAGGGGGCAGGAGCCAGACCTGAATGGCACCCTGAGAAGTTGGGTGTCTGTTCTGGAGGTGATGGGAACAATGGGAGGTTTGGAGCAGTGGAGGGATCTGATCAAGCTCTTATGGGGCTTCCTGTGATTGCACCGTGGAGAACAGACTAGGGGTGTGAGGAAGACCAGGGAAGAGGGTACTGCAGTAGTCCAGTGAGTGTTGATGATGTGGACCAATGCGGTGGCCTTGGAGGTTGAAAAAGTGGCTGGATTCTGAATCAAGTTTTTTTTAGTAGATCTGTGATTTTCTGATTTTGAAGGTGAGAGAGAAAATAGTAGAAGTCAGGGGTGACTGCAAGATTTTTGGTTTATCAGCTGGAAGGCTAGAAGCTCCAACTGGGACGTAGAAGTCGGTGATAGGATTAATTTTCCTTCAAGATACTAGTTTTGTTTTGGCCATGTTAAGTATATGAGATGTTTCAGAGAACTAATGAGTAGAAGTAGAAATGGGTAGCTGGATGCACAGGTCTGCAAAATGTGGACCAGGATGGAGCTGTGTTTCTTAGCTTGGGCAGCTAAAACAAAATACCTTTATTTCTCAGAGTTCTGGAAGCGAGGAAGTCCAAGATGAAAGTGCTGGCAGCTTCATTTCCTGGTGAGGGTCTCTCTTCCTGTCTTGCTGATGGCGGCCTCCTCACTGTATCCTCACATAGCCTTTTGTTGGTGCAAACAAGTGAAGAGAGCAGGAGATCTTTCTCTCCTTAGAAGGGTCCCACCCTCCGAATCTAAACCTCCCAAAGCCCCAACCTCCAAATACCATCACACTGGGGGTTAGGGCTCCAACGAATGATTTTGGGAGGGTGCATACACTCAGTCCATAATTGCTGTGGATCACATTTAGGCGGGGTAATCCCAGCCATGATGATGTTAATAGTAGTCCAGGAAGGGGAGGGTGGGATCAGAGGGCTGGGTCTCATGCTTGGTCACCTATTTGTGGAGTGGCAGACATCATAAACACAAGTGAAAGACAGAAGTGGTGGTGGGAACAGTGTAGAAGTGTATGAGATGGCCACCATGTACAGATGGCCAAGGCTTCTGAGGGATGAGATGCAGAGGCATAGGGGTGGTGGAGGCAGTGAGGCCAGGACTGCTGCTTATTCAGTGCTCTGGGGTCACCAGGATTTTGTCATGACCTTGGTGTGTCAAGGGAGTTTCAGCCAGGCACGTGGATTAGCTCAGGGGCCAAGCTCAGGGGCCAAGTGGTCATGTAGGAGAATTGCTGGACCTGGGGTGGAAGGTCTCTGGCACTGGTTTTGAATGAGGGTTAGGAAGAGAGGAAGGCTTGACAGGCGAGAGCCCATCAAGTACAGCACAAGTGGAGGAGGGTCATGGGTGGTTGTGAGTGGCTGAGGTTGAAGCAAGGACTAGTCAGGCAGGGAGAGCTGTAGAGCAGGATTCTGGGCTGTCTCTGCCACTGGAGATGGGGTAGTTCTGGATCCTGTTTGAATTGCCAGCACTCTATATGCCATGTGCTGAATAACATGGAGCAAGGAGAACTGGGGGAGGGAGTGGGAACTGAAGGCCTGAGGGCCCTGGCATTGAAATGGGAGCCCACACCCTTAGTTATGTCTGAGGGGTATGATCTGGGGGATCCTAGCAGAATTGCTTAACGAGAAAGAGTATTTCCCTACAGGCCAGGCCCGGAGCTTAGGTATCGTCTAACTGCACACCTACCTGTGGCTGCTGTGGATGGATATAGTGATCAAAGGGACCAGGAGGAGAGAGTGGGATCAGTGGCATCAGGGCATCTCTTCTCTGAGATGGGGAAATGAGGAGGTGGGTGAGCAGGGGAAGAATGAGTGGGTAGATGAACTTGGGGTCCTAGGAGCGAAGCTGATTGTGGAATGAACCGTCCCATTATTGGCAGAGTTGTGTGACCTTTGAGGATGTGGCCGTGTACTTCTCCCAGGAGGAGTGGGGGCTCCTTGATGAGGCACAGAGGCTCCTGTACCACAATGTTATGCTAGAGAACTTTGCACTTACAACACCCATGGGTAAGGCCTTCATTTTCCTCTCAGTACCCTGAACTGTCTTTCTCCCTCTCCCAGAACCAAACCTTGGGCTTCTAACTTCCCACTTCCTTGGCATATGTGTTAAGGGTGCCACTGCTAAGCTGTGTGCCCTGTCCCATGCAATGCACTCCTCAAGCAGCCCTAACACCTGCGACCCCATGGTGTGCAGGGAAAGGTCTAGGAGTCTGGAGTCTGGCAACCACCCTAATGGACCTCACTTCATTCACTCTCTCCCTGATGGGATTACTGTGTCCAGATCGATGGCACCTTGTGGCCCAGGTTTTGCCCCTTCTTTTTATTTTATTTATTTATTTATTTGATAGAAAGAAAGTGTACAAGTCGGGGGAGAGGGAGAAGGGGGCTCCCCGCTGAGCAGGTCCTGATGCGGGGCTCGATCCCAGGACCCTGAGATCATGACTTGAGCCAAAGGAGACACTTAACCGACTGAGCCACCCAGGTGCCCCTGCCCCTTCTTTTTTTTTTTTTTTTAAATTGAGATGTAATTGACATAACATTATGTTAGTTTCAGGTGTACAGCATAATGATTTGATATTTGTATATATTGCAGAATGCTTACCACATTACATCTGATTAGCATTCATCACCATGCAGAGTTCCAAATATTTTTTTCTTGTCATGAGAACTTTTAAAGATTCCTTGTGATTGCCTATATCAGGAATTGTAAGCATTGTCATGGTCACTATTTACGTGGTCCATAGACCTTTCTTTTTCTTTTTTTTTTTTTAGATTTATTTTAGAGAGAGCGCACGCGCATGAGGGCATGAGCGGGAGGGGCAGAAGGAGAGGGAGAGAGAATCTCAAGCAGACTCCCCGCTGAGCATGGAACCCAACACAGAGCTTGATCTCATGACCCTGAGATCTTGACCTGAGCAGAAACCAAGAGTCAGATGCTTAACTGACTACGCCACCCAGGCGCCCCCTTTGTGGTCCATAGACCTTTCTTGAAAGACCCTCTTTTGAGATTTTATTGTAATGTTCTTTCCTGTGGTCTAATGTTTCCTGAGTTGCTCTGGGCCAGTGCTGACCACTCACCTGTCCTGTCTTTCCCTAAGGACTTGCTTCATTCGGGTCCCATGTAGTTACACAACTGGGAGTCTGGGGAGCGCCCTGCTTGCTTCACAGGGTGAACATGACAGGATGGTCTCAGAGGAAGCCTGGCCCTGGTGAGTGGCAGCTGGTGAGGGGTGGGGGGCATGACATCAGGGCTGTGTTCTGAGCATACCAGGAACCTGCCCTGTGTTCACCAGTGTTTTGGTACATTGCCACTGGACACATCATTTACACTGTTTTCTGCGTACTTGACACTTTTCTGATTCTGAGTGACATTTCATCTGTGACTTCCATTCCCTGGCCATCCCCAGGTTTCTGACCTCCATGTATCATTTGTTCCTCTCCACTGCACGGTCTGCAGTGCTCCCACACGTAATGTGTTGTGAGGTATGCACATAGCCTTAAACCCAGATACTCAGTCCCACTTGTATTTCCCTCGGCCTGGACACAACCATCATTCTGTGTAGCGCGGACTTGTCCCTAGACAACAAGTTCCTGCTGAAGGCTGTTGGAGAGGAGTGAATTCGTGATTCTGCCTCCCCTCCCTGTGTTGCACCCCATACTTGTGCCCTTTGTCTCAAAAGGTCTCCCTCATTCTCATCTTTAGAGGCCCAGTACTGTAAAGCAGCCCTCCCTTCACATTGCTGCCTCATTCTGAAATTACTCCCATGGATTAAACATTTTATTTATTTGAGAGAGAGAGTGAGAAACAGCATGAGAGGGGAGAGGGTCAAAGAGAGAAGCAGGCTCCCCGCTGAGCTGAGAGCCCAGTGTGGGACTCGATCCCAGGACTCCGGGATTATGACCTGAGCCGAAGGCAGATGCTTAACTAGCTGAGCCACCCAGGCACCCCTATAACACACATTCTTGATGGGACTTCACTCTCTGCAAAGTTAAAATATACTGTATCAGTATTTCTCTACTTTTCACATTGTTGGTTTGGAGCAGAGGATGAGGAAGTACCTTCTGAGCAGAGTGTTTCTGTTAGAAGGAGTATCACAGGTCAGGACTTCTAAGGCAGACTCATCAATCCAAAAGACTCATTTCTGTGAGAATTGTGTCCCAGTATTTTTTTTTTTTAAGATTTAATTTTTTTTTTGACAGAAACACAGCGAGAGAGGGAACATGAGCAGGGGGAGTTGGAGAGGGAGAAGCAGGCTTCCCGCTGAGCAAGGAGCCCAGTGTGGGGCTTCAGGACCTGAGCCAAAGGCAGACGCTTAACTGACTGAGCCACCCAGGCCTCCCTGTGTCCCAGTATTGAAAGACGATTTGCACCCTTCTGAGCCAAGCAGCATATTCTGGGCAGAAGTCATACTTGGGTGGGGCATCCAGAGGCTTCTGGTTTGGTGCAAACCTTCACCAGTACCAAAAGCATGACAGTGGAGAGAAAATCTTCAGAATAGATGTGAACAGTGCCTTGTTTGTGATGAGCTGCAGATTCCATGTATCAGGGAAGCCCTTCACCTGTGGGGAGTGTGGAAAGGACTTTCCAGCTACCTCAGGCCTTCTCCAGCACCTGGACACTCCCAGCGGTGAGAAGCTACAGTGCAGCATTGAGTGTGGGGAGCCCTTTAACAGTGGAATAAGTCACAAGTGGATTGAATGCAGGACAGTTTTCAGGAGCACTCACATCCTTCACCACCAGTGATTCCACACTGGAGAAGGTCTTGATAGATTTAGCAAATGTGGAAAAGCCATCAGCTACAAATACAGACCTCTTCAGCACCAGCAAATTCACGCTGGGGAAAGGGCTTACGAGTGTAGTGAATGTGGGAGATTCTTTAGCCACAAAACCCATCTCATTTGACACCGGTGAGTTCACACTGGAGCAAAGCCTTATGAGTGCATAGAATGTGGCAGATCTTTTAGCCAGAAATCTGACCTCATTCAGCACTGGAGAGTTCACATACAACATGGTAAGTTTTGACATGTGTAAACACTTAGGAAACCATCCTTGTTATCAGTGATGATGAGCATGCCCGTCACCTGCGTCTTTTCCTTATTCCCTTTTATAATCTCTCCTTGACCCTCCAGGCCACCTTTGATTTACATTCCTTTACAACTGATTGCATTTTCTAGAATTTTATGATTGATGATAAAGTGTTTACTCTTTTTTTCTGTTTTCTTGACACTGCTTTGAGATTCATAAATGGTGCTTATAGGACTATTTAATTCTTACGCTTTTTATTTCATGTGTCGTCAACAATATCATCCATTCATCAGTTTATGGGTATTTTGGTTATTTCCACTGTTCAGCTATTGGAAATCTGATGTAAAAATTTGTTTATAATTCTTTATATGGATATATGTTTAATTTTTCTTATATTAATGACTGAGTGCACTGTCTGAGTCATAGGGTAGGTGAATATATAACTTTTTTAAAAATACTGCCAAACTGTAATCTAAAATGGTTGTGTCCTTTTGTACTCCCACCAGCAGTGTGTGAGACTTCCAATTCCTTCACACCCTTGTCAATGCCTGGTAAGATGACTTTTTAATTTTACTGTTTTAAAATAAGCATTGGTATCTCATTCATTTTAGTTGCATTTCCGTATGGATTTATGATGTTGAGCATTATTTCATGTATTTGCCATCTATTTATCTTTTAAAAAATATGTTATTTATTTATTTGACAGAGAGAGAAAGAGAGCACAGCACAAGCAAGGGGAGCAGCAGGCAGAGGGAGAGCGAGAGGGAGAAATAGGCTTCGCGCCGATCAGGGAGCCCGCTGTGGGACTCGATGCCAGGACCCCGGGATCATGACGTGAGCCAAAGGCAGACGCTTAACCAACTGAGCCACCCAGGCGCCCCTCTATTTATCTGTTTTAATAAAATGCCTATTCTTCACTTCGGGCTAGTTTCTATTTTATGAAATTTGGTTATTTTCCCTTTAATAACACGTAAGATGATGAAACAACAAAGACTTATGTTGGAATTTTATTTGTTCTTCAGTAATGTGAGCAACTTCTTTGTTGTGTGGAATAATTGTTTTTGAATACTGGAAGAATATTCTGTCATTTTTTTTCTTTAATTTTTCTTGGGGGCATGTGCAATGTAGTGGCTACCTATACCATTTAGTAGCGTATTTTCCATCACTTTTCTAGGGGTAGACGTTTGATATATTCAGCAATACAATAAATTAAGCCCTAGTCTGCAGCATTTGCCAACTTCCTTGGTATAAGTTCTCCCACGATGGCCAGTTTCAAACCGAAAACGAGGTTGGGACGAGTTGGCAGTAGCACACCGTTCTCTTCACGCTGTTGATACAGTAGCCACAGATAACCTCAAGAACATATATGATGAAACAGCAGAATGATAAGGGAGTGATGCTATTGGAGTATTTGTAATTTAAAGCTTGATATATAATTGACAAATGCACATATTTGAAATGTATATTTTGATGTTTTGAGTCATAAAAACTAAAGTTTCGGGGCGCCTGGGTGGCTCAGTCGTTAAGCGTCTGCCTTCGGCTCAGGTCATGATCCCAGGGTCCTGGGATCGAGCCCTGTGTCGGGCTCCCTGCTCAGCGGGAGGCCTGCTTCTCCCTCTCCCACTCCCCCTGCTTCTCCCTCTCCCACTCCCCCTGCTTGTGTTCCCTCTCTCACTGTCTCTCTCTGTCAAATAAATAAAATCTTTAGAACAAACAAACAAACAAACAAAAAACTAAAGTTTCCATGTGCCCTTTTTAAATTCGTTCTTCCCACCATATAGAATTACTGATACGAGGACATATTCTACCATTTGAATAAGTAATGGCTACTTTCAAATATAAACAGAAGTGGAAAAGACTCTCATAGAGCCTCAGTCTTCCATCATTTTTTATGGTCTTTCTGGTTTCATCTTCCTTTGTACATATCAGTGGGCTATTATTTTACCCATGAAACATAGACATCATGTTTTTCAGTGCATACTAAAGAATGCTTTTCTAAAATGTAAGAGCTTTTTCATAATGCTAATAACTTTCTCCCAGAATAAAAATATTTTAAATTATGATAAATATGAAAAATTCAATGATGAATTTTATCAGTTTTCTCAAAAATGGGTTTGTTCTTTAAGGTAGACTAGTTACAGGGGCATCTGGGTGGCTCAGTCATTAAGCGTCTGCCTTCGACGCTCAGGGTCCTGGGATCAAGCCCCACATCGGGCTCCCTGCTCAGCGGGAAGCCTGCTTCTCCCTCTCCCACTCCCTCTGCTTGTGTTCCCTCTCGCTATGTCTCTCTGTCAAATAAATAAATAAAATCTTTTTAAAAAGGTGGACTAGTTACAATCAGGATACAAAATATGGGGCTCCTGGGTGGCTCAGTCGGTTGAGTGTCTACCTTCAGCTCGGGTCATGATACCATAGTCCTGGGATCGAGCACCGCATCGGGCTCATGCTCGGTGGGGAGCCTGCTTCTCTTTCTCCCTCTGCCACTCCCTGTGCTTGTGCTCTCTTTCTCTCAAATAAATAAATAAAATCTTTTCTTAAAAAAAAAAAAGGGTACAAAATGTGTTTTGTGGGTCTGTTAACCTATAGGTGCTGTAGGAAACAGAACGCCATAGCGACCACTGGTGCATGTTCGCTCAGACTCTGAGATCTCTGAGAAAACTCGAGATTGCAGGGTTAAAAATAACCCGAAAGGATCAGAGTGAAATGCCCTTGGGACGTGTGTGGTCAGTTCTAAAGTAGGCAGCAGAAGATGCTTAGTAGATAGGAAGCCAACACTGGGCACTCCCCTCTTTGTTCCTTTATTCTGTTTTAAAGATTCTTACGTGCTTGACTGATCCTGTATACGTGGAGGAATGTGTCTTACTACACCCCTGCTGTAAATCATTATAGATCTATATCGCTGTAGAAGGTATGTGAGAGGGCGCCTGGGTGGCTCAGTCGGTTAAGCGACTGCCTTCGGCTCAGGTCATGATCCTGAAGTCCGGGGATCGAGTCCCACATCAGGCTCCCTGCTCGGCAGGGGGTCTGCTTCTCCCTCTGACCCTCCTCCCTCTCGTGCTCTCTGTCTCTCATTCTCTCTCAAATAAATAAATAAAATCTTTAAAAATAAATAAATAAAATAAAAACACTGTAAAGGAAAAACATTAAAGGATCTCATTTGTAGAGGATATAATTACCTTCTTTTTATATGTAGAGGATTAATTTAAAATGCAGTAGAATTAATGATACCTAAATATAAGAAAAACATACAAAATTAATAGTTTTCAGATATCTCAGCATTAATAAATATACATATATTTTAAATACCTATTTTACAACATCCTTACATATTCATAAAAACTTGAATAATGAGGAGAGAGTTATCCAAAATGTCTTTTTTCAGGAGGCTGGGCCTGTGGTGACAGTCACCACAATCAGAGGATGGGTGGTGGGGAATCAGCAGAACCCTAAGACATAATTTAAAATTCTCTGATCTCACCTCAAATTATCCATTCACCTGGTGCAGTAATGACAGTGCCTGCTTGGGGAGTTGAGAATAACTCTGGAAAGCTTTCTGTCTCTTCTATCGATTAGCAGAAACAATAGTGATTAATCAAGAAGCAGGGGGAAACATTAGTGAGAGAAACTTTCCTGTGATCTGTGGAGACTGAAAATCTCCCCAGAGGGGGGCAATAAATAGTGAGATCTGGGTCAGGAGATACTGCAGCCCAAGGAGATAGTCTAAGTGGACAGTGTGCTTCCATGATAAGGTTTCTATCCATATTATTATTGTTATTATTATTTAAAGATTTTATTTATTTATTTGACAGAGAGATAGAGAGCACAGATAGGCAGAGTGGCAGGCAGAAGGAGAAGCAGGCTGTCTGCTGAGCAGGGAGCCCTATGCGGGGCTTGATCCCAGGGCCCTGGGATCATGACCTGAGCTGAAGGCAGACACTTAACCGACTGAGCCACCCAGGTGCCCCCAAATTTATTATTAATATTAACGATTCTTCAGACCTCAGAGCAGCATCCTTATTCATGATGTGGGCAGAGAAATAACATCTTACAAAAGAACCAGAAAATGAGTTGTAGATAGATAAGGAGGAAAAGGAAGACTGGGAGAGTATAGATTGGATTTCAAGAAAAGAAAGAGCCTAAAAGCATCCAAAGATACTAGAGTGGCTACTTTTAAAAGACCTGGAAGTGACCATTGCATTTAGTGACCGTAAACTTTAGCTGACCATGCTGACAGCAGTCCTGCAGGACGTACAGGCCGAAGCCCGTGGGTAGTAGGGGGCAGCCTGCCATGAGACAGGGACAGACTGTAGATACCCGCTTTTAGCTCTGAAAGGAACAGACATGGGGCGCCTGGGTGGCTCAGTTAAGCGTCTGCCTTCGACTCAGGTCACGATCCCAGGACCCTGGGATCGAGCCCTGCATCGGGCTCCCATGGAGCCTGCTTTTCTCTCTCCCTCTGCCTGCTGCTCCCCCAGCTTGTGCTCTGTCTCTCTCTGTCAAATAACTAAATAAAATCTTTTTTTTTAAAAAGATTTTATTTATTTATTTGAGAGAGAGAATGAGACAGAGAGAGAGAGCATGAGAGGGGGGAGGATCAGAGGGAGAAGCAGACTCCCCGCCGAGCAGGGAGCCCGATGCGGGACTCGATCCCAGGACTCCAGGATCATGACCTGAGCCGAAGGCAGTCGCTTAACCAACTGAGCCACCCAGGCGCCCCCCAAATCTTTAAAAAAAATAAAGGAAAAGACATGAAAGCTTCCTCTCCCTTAAGTCCTCCCGTACAACTAATTGAAGTACACAAGAAGTGAAGACAGAAAAAAATGGTCAACTCTTCAACTCACCAGTTAACATTACTTTGTCAGTGTAGGAGTCAGAGAATGTCAGTCATTTGGTTAAAACCTTGCAATGTCCCCTAGCTTTTCTGAGAAAAGGCAAAATCCTTGCAGAGTCCTGGGGAGCCTCACTGGACTTGGTGCCGTGTTGCCTCTCTAAGCTCTTCTCTGACAAGCTCCTTCCGCTCTCCTGGTTCCATATGCACTGGCTGCCAGCTTTGCTGGAACACAACTGCTGCCTCTTCCCTCTGCTTTAATCTCACCTCCCCAACTACCCATGTGAACCTCCCGCTGCATCTCTTTTCTTTTCTTTTTTTTTTTATATATTTTTATTTATTTATTTGACAGAGAGAGACACAGTGAGAGAGGGAACACAAGCAGGGGGAGTGGGAGAGGGAGAAGCAGGCCTCCTGCCGAGCGGAGAGCCCGACGCGGGGCTCGATCCCAGGACCCCGGGATCATGACTTGAGCCAAAGGCAGACGCTTAACCAACTGAGCCACCCAGGCGCCCCTCCCCTAACTGGTTTGGTGCTGGTTTTCTGGCTTTCTTCCATGATCTTTCTCATACACTGAGAATAATGGGTGACAGGTTATGTGCTTCATGGATTTGTTGATTGAAACAGTGCCTAAAGTTTTCTCCACTTTCTACAGGTTCATCTCTAACACTCTGGCAGTTCCTTCTCATTTCCCCCTCATTGTTCTGCTCTTCAAGGTGGTTACTGCACATGGTTCTCTGAAATAAAACGTGATCCTAGTTGGGAGACACACCCTCAGGTTGGCCGCAAACACAGCTGCCCCCGTCCCAAGTCTCTCTGGATAAAGTAAGTCGTACTTACTACAGCATACAGGAATGTAAACCCTTCTCAAACCTCCTTCTGGGATCATCTTAAGTCCCTATACAGGCATATGGTCAGTACAGTTACAGATGGGATGATAATCACTTCCCAGCAAGGGGGCTGACCTCATGGTGGGCCAAACCATTCTCCTGAGGATAAAATGCCCCCTTTTCATTTGTGCTCTGTGACCATGACGGCCACTGTCCCCCCAGGGAAATGTAATTTGGTAAATAGACCTTCTCTTTAGGCAAAGCACAGAAATAGAATATTTACTAGAAAACCTAATATACCTGACACTAATATAGCACGTATGTTAATTATGCTGGAATTGAAAAAGAAAAGGAAAAAAGAAAACCTAATAAATAGTGTGTGGAAGTTTAATGATCTTGTTTCTCCTGAGGTTGCAATATGAGCCCTGATAAATATAGGTAGGAGGCATATTTTCCAAGTGTTCCTCAAATGTTTAGTCCTCATCTTCCTGTCCAGGGGTGCATGAGATTTAACCTCTGTCTTCTCTGTTATTGCTGCATCTGGAGTCTTCCTAAGTAAATACACTGAACTCAAAGTCTTCATCCTCTTACATGTAAGCAAATATTAATTCTATTTTAGAGACTAGATTGTACAGGCAGGAAAGCCAATCTGTGCCAGTTCAATCTGTTTTTGTTACAGAAATTCTTTAGTATGTAAAATTTTTATCCTATTAGATCAGATTATGGAAACTTGTTTTAATTTAGTTATATACACATAAGATGCACAATTTATTTAATCGCCTTTTAATTTTTCTCCCCCTGCATCTAGGGCTCTGTTTTCAAATCAGTAAGTAATTAAGAGCTAGCATTATGCTCGCCACACCTGCATTTGCTTAGTACCTGGGGTGTAAAGTTCTTTTTCCCCCCCCTCCATCTTAGGCCCATGCCCCCTAGAGCGGCATGCTTTTTTTTCCCCCCTGAGGCTTTGCTCCTGTCTTTGGTTGATAAGCTGAAAGTGGGAGGAGAAAGGGTCCTGGTCTATCCAGGCAGTAGCCTTCCCTGGTAAGGCCCCAACTACAGGATAATCAGCCGGTTTTTGCCTTTTTTCTTTTTCTTTCTTTTCTTTTCCCTCTTCTCTTAGCAAAACCTTTTAGAATGGCTCTTATCTGTAGGCAGCTAATTGTTACACCCCCCCCCACCCCCGTGGGCTGTCCACCTGACCATCTCTCCAAGTGGTGCTCTCCCTCTCCAGGGCGTCCCGATCAGCCTCAGAGGGGCTGGGACCACGAGCGACCCCAGGAGGGATGACAGGTGGGGTGGGGACAGCCAGGACCCTTAGGAGGGGTCAGGGAGGACTGTGCGGGGAACGTGCAGCCTGCCCCCAGAGGGGCGCGAGTGATCTTCCCCAAGGGCTACTCCGAAGCACCGAGCACCTCGGCTTCCAGGCAGCGCGCAGCGGTGTGCCTTGGGGGAGGTGCGCAGCTTGGTGGCTGGAGACCTCCTGAAATCCCTGTCACCAGAGGCGCACTGAGAAGTATTGCTTTACATGCCGGGTGGCTGGGAATCCGGGAGCCAGGGGATAATTACCCCTTCTTGTCGGGATCGCGGCTGGAGAGCGGTATCTCGGGTGTATTGTTGGGATGGGGGCAGGGTCCGCACTTTGAGAGGCAGACTTGGCTACACTTGGAAGGAAGGGGCAACACCGAGGAGCGCCGAGCAGGGCACTGAATGCCAAGACAGGAAGTCTTCCCGGAGGGCTCAGACAGTTGGCGCAGTAAACGAGCCAGGCAGTAAGTGCTCAGTCAAAGGCATCTCTTGGGGGTGCCTGGGTGGCTCAGTTGGTTAAGCGACTGCCTTTGGCTCAGGTCATGATCCTGGAGTCCCGGGATCGAGTCCTGCATCGGGCTCCCTGCTCAACAGGGAGTCTGCATCTCCGTCTGACCCTCCCCCCTCTCATGCTCTCTCTCATTCTCTTTCTCAAATAAATAAATAAAATCTTAAAAAAAAAGGCATCTCTTGGGGACTTTCCCCAGAGTTCAGAATCATCCCCTCCCCCTGGCCAAATGGAGGAATAATTCCCCTTTAAGGGAATTATTAATTATTACTAATCTTTAAGGATCACTCCAACATGGAAGCAGAAATTACACTTGGAGAGGCATATTAAAGAATTTATTATACTCACAGATCCTAGAAGAGAGAGGCCAGATGCAGACTCAGGGGCCAGATGGAGGAGAGCCCAGGAAGCCGGTTCAACCAAGCAGGAGGGGAGCAGAGAGAAACAGAGAAACAGAACAAAGACCAACAGGAGTTAGAGACAGGAGAAAGCAAGAAGGAACACTTGTGGCAGGGGCCAGCCTTATCACACTGGTGCATTGGTCACCTGGTGTTCACAGCCTGTTTGTGGGGATGTTGAAGCATCAGGGACATAGGAAGTTTAAAAATTTTAGTTCACTGAGTGTGTGTGTTGTTTGATTGTTTTATGGGCTACGTTGTGTCTGGATGTCTCTAATAGCATGTCTCTAAAAATAGTGAGTGATAAGCGTGGGACTGAAAACCTCCACCTTCTTCTCTTTTGTTTGTGGGTTCAGGATTCTTTTTGTTGTGCCTGTGACATTAGATTTCTAGTAAATATCTGTGGCCGATGCAAAGTAGATTAAACTTCATCTCCTATTTAGAGAAATAGAAGTCATGCTAAATAAAAAGTGATACAAAGGTTGCAAAAGTTGGAGAGCAGGAATGACCAGGAATTGTAGATGGGTTCCATGTGACCCCGACATGTAACCAGATGTAAAAGTGCTTTGATAGACTCTGAACTCAGCACTCGCTTTGGATCTGCGGAATTTGTTGGGATTTCTAAAGCTTTCGCCCCTCTCAGCCTTTGATTAGTGATAACTTAGTCTGTCTAACTGCTTAAGTCCCAGCCAGAAAAACTGTGGGGTGGGCATTTTCCTATTACTGTCCCTGAAAGAGAGATGCACCCAGCTTAATCCCTAATTGTGCCTGCACAAGGAAATGAGATAGGACTTTATTTGTCCATGAATGACTGCAGTTCTTAACAGCATGTTAATCTAGAATTCACTGAGATTCACAGAACATTTGTAGACTCAGTTCACCTTTTTTATTTTTAAATTTTTTGATGACTTTCATCGTACATAAATTGTACACTTTTACATACTCTCATTGAATTACGTAATTTTTAGCTTCTATTTTTGGCATTGCTTACTAAATATTTGCCGTAACTCTTGGAAGAAATACACACATTTCTAAGTGGTTTATTTATGTGCTCCATACACACTTGTTAGAACAGTGCGTAAACCTGACACTTCAGATTCCGTGTTTATGATTACTCTTCCGGCTACTCTAAATGTCCTCTTCAACTCTCTTACTGCTCACTGTGCTCATGAATGAAAAAGAATCACCTTTTGGAGACAATATCCTCAGAGTGACCAAGGTTCCAACACAGACACATGCTCTCATACCTAAATGACTTCTCAAAGTCACTGAGGTCTTGAATTTTTTCACCCTTCCCTGATGTTTCCCCAGAGCTTCCTGCCACTATCTTTAAAGAAATACATAAACATTATCAATAACTCTGTCATTTCTATTTCACTACTGTCTTTCTGAGATAATCTGAATTCCCCTTGCAGAACTTTCCCTTCAGTAACAGAAATGATCATCATTTCCCAGCAAGCTGATGAGACCATGCAGTTCAGGTGCTCCCTTCCTCTTGAGATTCAGATACCCCCTTAGTATTGGGGTTCAGATGCTCCTTTAGCACTTGTGCTGCAAGTGTGAAAACTGCAGCTACTGTCCCATACCAAAGTAGCATTTGTTGGGGCGCCTGGGTGGCTCAGTTGGTTAAGCACCTGCCTTCAGCTCAGGTCATGATCTCAGGGTCCTGGGATCAAGCCCCACCTCAGGCTCTCTGCTCATCGGGGAGTCAACTTCTCCCTCTCACTCTCCCTCTGTGCTCTGTCTCTCTCAAATAAATAAATATTTTTTTAAAAAACAGTATTTGTTTAGTTGCTCTCCATTTGAGTTATGTATCAAATTCCTGAAAGGAGTTGGATATCTTGGAATATGGGGAAAGAAATATCCTATGGATTAAACTGTTCCTCAATGGGTAGGACACAATCACAGTATATACGCAAGAGAGATGTTCTCTGTGGGAACCAGAGGCAAAGCTTCACCCTTGTGCAGTTGCTTCAGGGCAGCCTCCACCTCCCTCTTCTGATGAACCTGTCTAGGGTCTTTTCCTCTTTTCCTGACCAAACATACTGAAACTCACAAAACTCACTTCTAACTCTTGAGGTTTCATGCATGTGAAGAACAATAAGATGATGTTTATTAGTCTACAGCTAAGGACGTACATATTTTATGTCGAAATGACTTGATGGAATATGTCCGCTTGTATCAGTAGCCTTTGGGGACTCCTAAAATACTGTTTTTATTCTCTGGGAGCCTGCTGAGCTTCATGGGGTCTGAAATCATGCTTCTAAGAACTTTTGAGCACTTGCAGACAGCACCCCCTACAAATCCGCGTGAATCCCTTCAGGAAGCCTCCGGAACCTTACTAGACCTCGCAGAACCTCCGAGCCTTTGGGATGGTTCCGGTGGGGAGCACCCTCTCCTCTACCGCCTCTGCCACGTTACCCAGAGGGCGCCGCGCGGAGAAGCTGCGGGTTGAGCCAATGAAGGCCCAGCATAAGAGCTCTTCCGTGCGTTTAACAGCGCTTGGGGCGGGACTTCCGGCGTCCTCGTGGTGGCGGTGGTTTTGGGCGTTCCTGGGTTTGTTCGGCACCGTCAGGCCGGCGCGGGACTCTGGTGACAGGACCGAGAAGGCGCAAGGAGAGGAGCTGTCCCTGCCGCGCAGACTGGGGCCCCCGGCTAGCGACGCCGCCCGGGCTGCCCCGCGCCGGGGGCCGAGACGGGGACCGCCGGTCCAGGTGTCCGCTCCGCCCACCGAGCCCGATGGCGGCGGCCGCGCGCAGGGACCCGGCTCCGGTAAGCGCTCGTCCGCCCACCCAGACCCCCGCGGCCCAGGCCCCGGCGTCCGGGACAGGCGGGCGGCGGCGGGCGGGGGCCCCGTGCGGGAGCGGGCTCCGGGCCGAGGGCGGCCGGGGCCGAGGCTGCAGGGGCGCTGGAGGGAGGCTGCAGGGGGCCTGAGGCGGGAGGAGTCTGCCCTCGGGGGACAGCGCGTGAGGGGCGTCACGCCCGGACTCGCGGGCCGAGGTGAGGTTCCTCTGTCCCGAGGGCCCTGGGAGCCATCGGTGGTTGTGAAGAGAAGAGGGACACGGCCTTAGGGCTGTGAAAGTTTCCAAGGGCTGCTCCGAGGGAGAAGAGGCTGGACCGGGAGTGATGAGGACAGTGAGGCACTGGGAGGTTGAGTCCAAGTCACAGAATTGGGAAGAGGGAGTACTGAGAACTGAAGTACAGAGTTTACTGAGCCTTTCAGCCCAAGGTCTGGCCTCCAGGGTTGGCTAGAGGTACAGGGGAGGTTCGAGCCCGCTGAACTACACCACGGTCCCCAGCCTCTCTGACTTGCTTCTGCTCGTAGTCTCTGAGGCTGAAGTAGCGCTTATGGAACCTACACAGTGAAGTGCAGGGTGTCCCTCCCCTCACTGGTTTGGATCCCAGGCGTATCAACTTTGGGACTGTGGTGTCCTGGGACTCTTCACCTGCTTTTCCGCCAGCCCTTTTGGTTTGCTGATCTGGGAGAGATCCCAAGGGCAGGGGGCAGTCTAGATTCACTTTGAGTCCAGGTTATATGGAGTTCTTATCTCTGGCCCCCAATGGAAAGGAGTGTAGACGCTTATCCCAGGAACAGGGCACAGCATTTGGAAACTCTTAGGAACAAAGAGCAGGGGGGCTGGAGTTAGTTTTGGAAATGGCTGCCTGAGAAGTTGGGCAACTGTAATGGACGTAATGGGAGATTTGGAACAGAGGAGGGAGATGATCTTACCCAGGTTTAAGTAGGCTCCATCTGGTTGTAGAGTGGAAAACAGACTTCGGGATTGAGGGAAGAGGAAGGGTGACCAGGGAAGAGGCGACTGCGATAGTCTAGGAGAGTGTTCGTGGACCAGAGTGCTGGCTGTGGAGGTGGGAGAAGTGGTTGGATTCTGGATCCATTTTTCAAGAAGGGCTGGTTTTGAGGGCGAGAGAGAGAAAGGAAAGAGTCGGAGATGACACTAAAGTTTGGTCTTAGCAGCAAGAAGTGTGGAAGTTAGATCAACTGAGATAGGAAAATCAGTAGTAGGAGTGATCCCCCACTGGGGATATCAGGAGCTTTGTTTTGGACCATGTTAAGATTCTAGATACTTCAGAGACCAAATGAGTAGTGGCATCAAATGGGCACTGGACACAGGTCTGGAAATCTGGAGTGGGGTTTAGGATGGAGGCATCCAGCCACCTGGTGACTAGTATGTGCACCAAGGTGGAGCTGTGGATCATATTTAGAAAGTAGAATTCAGCTCATGGCAGTAATGTTATTAGCGGGTCAGAAAGAAGAGTAAGAGTTCCAAGGGCTGGGTCTATTGCTCGGGTACCTGTTTGGGGGTTATGGGTATCATAAATACAGATGTAGGAGAGAAATAACCACAAAGGGAGTATGTGGGGAGGCTGGTCTTGCAGGTGGCCAAGACTTCCAAGGGAAGAGTGGACGTGAGATAGATGAAGAGAACTATTTGAGATAAGATGGGTTTATTATAATTTTGTGGTGGGCTTTGGTGGGTTCTGGGGTATTTGCTGGTGTGTGAGGTCTGGGGCAAATGTGGTCATCTGTGAGAACCACTGTGCTTGGTATGGGTACCAGTATGGCTGAGCTTTGAATGAGGGTTAGGTGGAAAGAGGAGGGTTGTGGCTGCTGGGGGACTGCAAGTGCACACAGAAGTGGGAGAGGGTTGTGTATCTGAAATTCACATACAGCTCCATGTGACTAATGTTGAAGCAAGAATTAGAGACAGGCGGAGAAAGCCTTCGAAGCAGCATCCAGGGCTATCCCTGGTGTTGGGATCCATCGGAGGTCTGGGCTAGTACTGGATCCTATTTGAACTTGCCAAGTTCTTTCTGGATGCCATGTACCAAGTAGTATGGAACGAGTCCAGGGAGATGCATATGGTGCGGGGCAGGGAGTTGGCAGTGGCTGTGGGGATGCAACTATGGGGTGTGAGGATGTGAGAGCTGCATGTGGAGAGAGGAAGTGTGCACTTATGGTCCTGGGCCCTGGTCCTGGAGACTTAAGGATGATAGGTGACCCCAAATTTTATTGTGAGGCATGATATGGAGGACTCCATGGAAGTTGCCTGGCAGGAAGAGATGCAGCCCTGTAATCCAGTTCCTGAACGTAGATGGTGTCTCTCTGCCTACCTGCCTGCAGTTGCTGAGAGCTGGGCATGTAGATTAATAGAACCATGAGGAAAGAGCAGTACCAATGGCATCAGGTCCTGGTTTCTCCTCTCAGGTGGGGAGCTTGGGAAGGGGATGGGCATGGGGTAGATGTGAGAGAGGGGATTGTGGGTCCTCAGGAGGGAGGCTGTGGTTTCATCTGTCCCCAACACGACAGGACAATGTGACTTTGGAGGATGTGGCCGTGTACTTCTCCTGGGAAGAATGGGGGCTCCTTGATGAAGCTCAGAGACGCCTGTACCATGATGTGATGCTGGAGAACTTGGCACTGATAACCTCTCTGGGTAAGTCCATCACACCTACCACAATGACCTGGGTAGCAACTTTGCCTTTCTGCTTTTCCCTACGGGCTGCTCTGTTCTTCCATCCAGACCATGGGCACTACATCCTTTCCTAGTTCCCTGGGTAGGTGCTGTTGTTGCTAGGACTGGATTGTTCGCACTGCCCTCTTCTCTCCCTGCTACCTCAACACCTGCTGCCCTGAAGTCTAGTAGCAAAGAGTTCTAGGTAATCCTTCTAAGTTTTTGCAATCAGTCAGATGGATCCCACCTTGCTTGCTCCCTCCCTGGCTGGGTGACTTCTGCAGATCCATGGTACCTACTTACTTCAGGTTTTGCTCCCTTTTTCTGATAGTTCTACATGCCTACATGTGCCAGGAATTGCCATCACTGACATGGACACTGTTATGTGCACTATGGGCTGCTTTTGGAGACCTTTGTGTGAGGTTCTTTTTGTAATGTTTAGTTTTCTGTGATTTGTCATGTGGGCTGGTAGTGGCCACTTACATGTCCTGTCTTTTCCTTAGGACTTACATTATCCATGTCTGATGTAGTTGCTCAATTTGGGTTGTGGGGGAGACTTCTGGGCACTTCACAGAATGATATGACTCCTGCCATGGCAGGAGGGGCTAGAGGAGGCCTGGCCCTGCTGATTGGCAGCTGAAACAGGACATGACATCAGGGCTGTGTTCACCTAATACCAGGAACTTGTTCAAACTAGTGTTTTGGTGCCATTTCCAATGGCCACACCTCATTTTCACCTTTTCTTCCCTATTCTTGATACTTGACTAGTTTGTCATTTTTACTCTGACCTCTCGTCCCTGGCTGCTGGCAACTTCCCTGCATCTATCAGTTGCCCATTCCTTTCCACTGCTGCCATTGCAGTGTTCCCAGCATTGGCTCATGCATAACAGCTGGTGAGCACATATCCTCAATAGTCCTTGAACACTAGCTACTCACTAGCAATCATTTTTCTGTTCCTGGACAAAAACTTCTTCATAATACTCACATGTGAGCAACACCCCTCCTGGAGGTCATTCTGAGAGGAGTAGGTTGGAAACTCTGCCTGCTTCTCCTTAACTCTGCTGCATTGCATTCTTAACTTCTTTCATTTTGTGAGGCCTCCCTACTTCTTAGAGGAGCCTTTTAGAATCCCAGTACTGCAAAACAGCCCCTTCCTCATCTTGCCTCCCAACTTCTTCATCCTGAGAACAGTCTCACGTATTCATTCTTTGGTATGTCAGGCACATATTTATAATGTGGCTGCCACCTGTCCCCAGAGACAACATACTTTACTAGCATTTCTCTGTTTTCAGATTGTTTGTGTGGCATAGAGAATGAGGAGGTACCTTCTGGACAGAATGTTTCTCTGGGAAGAATGCCACAAATCAGGTCTTCAGAGCCAAATCCATCCACTGAGAAGGTTCATTTCTGTGAGATGTGTGTTCCTGTCATGAAAGATATTTTGTACCTGGTTGAGCATCAAGAAACACATACTGGGCAGAAATCATACACATGTGTGGCACGTGGGAAACAATTCTGTTTCAGTGCAAATCTTCACCAACACCAGAATGAGCACAGTGGGAGAAAACCCAATAGCAAGGACATGGACAGGGCTTCCTTTGTGAAGACCTATAGAAGTCATTCATTAGGGAAGCCTTTCACCTGTGAGGTTGAAAAGGACTTCTTGGCCAGTTTGGGACTTCTCCAGCATCAGGCCACTCCCAAAGCGGTACTGAGTATACACAACAGTACTAAGTGTGAGGGTTCCTTTCACAGTGGAAAAAGTTCTTACAAATGTGGTGAATGTGGAAAAGCCTTCTGTCGCAAACGTACACTTGTTCAGCACCAAAGAATTCACACTGGAGAAGGACTGTTTGAGTGCAGTGAATGTGGGAAAACCTTCAGCTACAAGCATACATTTGTTCAGCATAAGACAGTCCACACTGGAGAAAAGCCTTTTGAGTGCAGTGAATGTGGAAGAGGCTTCAGGTTCAAATATAAACTTGTTCAGCACCAGCGTACTCACACTGGAGAAAGGCCTTATGTGTGTAGTGAATGTGAGAAAGCTTTTGGATGCAAATCCAAACTTGTTCGACACCAGAGAATTCACACCGGAGCAAGGCCTTATGAATGTGCTGAATGTGGCAAATTCTTTAGACAAAGTTCTAGCCTTGTGCAACATCGGAGAATTCACACTGGAGCAAGGCCTTACGAATGTGACGAATGTGGGAAGTCTTTTAGCCAAAGCTCTATCCTCATTCAGCACCGGAGAGTTCACACTGGAGAAAGGCCATATGAGTGCAGTGAATGTGGGAAATCCTTTAGACAAAGCTCCAGCCTCATTCAGCACCGGAGAGTTCACACGGGAGCAAGGCCTTACGAGTGTAGTGAATGTGGGAAATCATTTAGCCAAAGTTTTAGCCTCATTCTACATCGGAGAATTCACACTGGAGAAAGGCCTTACGAATGCAGTGAATGTGGGAAATCCTTTAGCCAAAACTATAGCCTCATTCAACACCATAAACTTCACACTAGAAAAAGGCCTCAGGAGTGCAGCCAGCCTGAGAAAGTTTTCATTTAACAGTCTTCTCTGATTCAACACCAAAAACTTCATTACTCACATCAGTTTTATGAATCAGATGTGGAAAAACCTTCAGCCAAGATCTAAACCCATTCAGCATGAAAAAGAAATTCCATGTAAGATAATGGCCTTAAACCTTCAGGGAATACGCTATCTCTTTGTTCAGTGTGAAGGCACTAGAGAGCCTCTGTGAGGAGCCATCTACCATGCATTCCAATCAGGAGTTTTCAGGAGCTGCATTTCATATTCTGACCTGCTCAGACCTTGCCAGAACTCTGTCACTGCCAGTGGTGGCAACAGTTATCTCCCTCTGACACCTAGCAGGTCCTCCTCATGGCATGCACGTCACCTTAGCATGCTCAGAGAAGACAGATGTTTGTGCTCTCTCCCGTTCTCTGCTGGAAATCATAGTCTGAACCCCTGGGGTGGGAGCTTCCCATTCCCTTCTCTCTGACTATGGCATGGACCTGATCCACTTTTTGCCCAAAGAACTCAGTCTAGGAACCACTGATATTTTGCAAGTTTTACCTTCTTCATGGATCGTTGGTCTTACGCAATATTTTTTATGGATTTTCCAGCCTCCCAAGTCACTGATGTGGGACCTGTCTGCCTCACATTTGCTCTGATTTGTGCAATAATAAAGGTCTTATTAAGTCACATTTAATCTTAAGATTTTTATTCATTGTGTGGAGTGGGTTGAAAACAGTTGGGCTCTGCCATTGTGGAGAGGTAGACAGCTTTCTTGAGGACCTCAAGGGGGGCAGTATAATATCAGAGACTACCTCTCACTATATTTTTTACCTAATCAGCATTCCTATCTGGGTAAAAAAAAAAAAAGAATAATTAATTTGGTGTTTGTCCCCAGCTCCTGGCACAGAGCTTCTAAAACCCTTGGGATTTCCTGGATAAGAGTCTTTTCTATGATAGTGAAATGGCTCAAGATGGAAGACAATAAAGGAACTTCAGGATGGGAGCTGGTCACCAGACATTAGAGGGTTCTAACTTTAAGCCCCACCCTTGACATCTGGGGAGGGGAAGGAGCTAGAGATTAAGTTCATTCACCAGTGGCCAGTGATTTAGTAAACCATGCCTATGTAATGACACCTTGATAAAAACCCCTAAACAGTAGGGCTTAACACCAGCCAGCCAGGACAGGGGGTGCACACTGATTCTACTGTGATAGAGGTTCTTGCTCTTGGAATTCTTTTGGAACTCACCCTATGTACCTCTTCATATCTTTGTTGATTTGTGTCCTTTATAATAAACTAATAGTATAGCATTTTCTTGAGTTCTGTGAGTTATTCTAGCAAATTAGCAAACCTGAGTGGGTGGGGACTAAAGGCAACTCCAAATTTGTAGTCAGCCTGGTAGAAGTGGGGGTAGTCTAGGGACCCTATTTGCAGCTGGCATCTGAAGAGACAGTTGTAGGACTGAGTCCTTAACCTGTGGGGTCTGTGCTAACTCCCAAGCAGCTAGTGTCAGAATTGAACTGAACACCCAGTTGGTGTTGGAATGACACATTTGGTATCAGAAAAGGCCATATACTGCATAAGGCCTTGTAAGAAAGACTACAGGTATCTGTGGTCCTAATTTGTGGCCTGGATGCCAGGATTTTTGTAGGCCCAAAGATCACCCTGAGGAGGGTACAGTTGTGACAACCAACAATGCTTTTGGAAAAGGCTAGTACATGATAATTTCTCCCAGTTACAGTGATGGAAATCAGCAGCACTTGAATTATGCTTGAACATGACATTAAGGCCTGATTGTCTAAAATGAATTAGGAAAATGCAAAGTGCTTAATTTTTCTCTGAAATTATTGAGATGCCTGAGTATTAAAGCAGGGTTTGTTTGGGGTTTTTTTAAGATTTATTTATTTGAGAGAGAGGATGTGCACACATGTGCATGATTGGGATGAGGGGCAGAGGGAGAGAGAATCCCAAGCAGACTCCCCACTGAGCACAGAGCCTGACATGGGGCCCAGTCTCATGACCCTGAGATCATGACCAGAGCCGAAATGAAGAGTTGGATGCTTAATCGACTGAGCCACCCAGGCACCCCTTAAGACCAGTTTTAAAAGGCCTCATGGGAGCTTGGGAGTTGCCCGAGAGGCTCAGTCTGTTAAGCGTCTGCCTTAGGCTTGGGTCATGATCCTGGGGTCCTGGGATCGAGCCCTGGGTCTGGCTCCCTGGAGTCTGCTTCTCCCTCTTTCTCTGCCCCTCCCCCACACTTGTGTGCTCTCTCTCTCCCCCCCTCCCTCGCTCCCTCTCACTCTCAGATAAATAAATCTTTGAAAAAAAAATAAAAGGGGGCGCCTGGATGGCTCAGTCAGTTAAACGTCTGCCTTCGGCTCAGGTCATGATCCCAGGGTCCTGGGATCGAGCCCCTCATCGGGCTCCCTGCGTGGCGGGGAGTCTGCTTCTCCCTCTTCCTCTGCCTGCTGCTCTGCCTACCTGTGCTCACTCTCTCTGTGTCAAATAAATAAAGTCTTTTAAAAAAAAAGAAAAGGCCTCATTAGTAATGGAAATCTTATTGACACCATTGATGGTGACTTCCTCATTGCACAACGTCCACTTAGATTTTTATCGGCCCAGAGAACCTTTGCTGCATTCTCCATGTTCCATTTGCTCAGTCGTCATCTCAAAAAAAGAGCCTCACTTGCAAAGCTGAGATACAATTCTTTTTTTTTTTGAGATACAATTCTAAGGTGTTTTATTGTTTATACCCCAAATCTGCAATCTTTGATCTGACATCCAGATGCTAAGAGCTTCTTGAAATCTTATTTTTGCTTTCTACACTAACCACACTTCAATTCATATATGAACTCAGTAGCATCTTTATGATGTGTTATAGGCTATTTGTAGCAGAATACATAATTCCTGTTTATAATTCTGATGGGAACTTTCCTTACAGCAAAACCACTAGATCCAAAAAATTAGGGAAGTGTACTTGCACCCTACCCCAATAACCCTTGGCCCAGTGGCACATGGCTGCCATTTATATCATGGAGCATAAGCTGGTCGCAGATAGAGGGGAAAGCCAGATCCACCGTCTGGGGTCACAAATACGTTTTCTACTCTAGAGCCATGTACATCCCTGTGCTCAACAATTACTGCTCTAACATTCCGCTGTTGCCATTGGCTAAAAAAGACTCCATATTTTGATTACTAATTGGGCTTGTTGCCACCACCATCAAACCTCACATCGTTCAGTTGGAGAATCCAGAAAATCTAGGACCTCTCTTCTAACCTGAATTGTCCTAACAATTATCTATAAAGAGGTCAGTCCATATACTCAAAGAGCTGTCATTACTGATCTGTCACTTAAAAGCTTCCGAAATCCTACTCAAGGACCTTACCTCAATCTTCCAGCTGTCCTCTACTCCTGCAGCCCCTTTTGCTCTTCTGTTACTTGCCTGTCCATCTTGATGTTCCTAGTTCAATATATTCACTAAAATCTCAAGAATGCCAAATCTGTTTTTTACTTTAAGAAATTCCTCCAGTATTACTTTTGTCTTTGTTAATATTCTGCCACATTTATACAGAGAATAGAAGATCATTATTTGATATTGTTTGACAACATCCCTGCCTCCTAAATCTAAAACAAATCTCTTGTGGGCTGCCTGTGTTGAAATGGAAATGATGCCTCCCCTCAATTTAGCATCAATCCCTCCATCCTGCCTATGACTTTCCCATGTCTTAGCTTCTGAGAGGTTTTGTTCTTGATTTATCAAATCTCTTGACTTATAAATCACCCATCACTGATCTTCAGTCTCTTAATCTCCTTGACAAAAAACATCAATACAGTTTGTGTACTTCATAAAATAACTACCCTTCACTCTGAGCTAGTACATTTTCTTTTCTACTATTGCTCTCCCTCGTCCTTTATTGCTAAACTTCTACAAGCATTTTCTCTCCTTTTGTTTCTATTACTTCCAATTCCTATGTAGTTCTCTACTCATGTGTATGAAAGTTTCTGTCTTCACAACTCCATCACCATTAATGAACTTAAAAACAATAATGACATCTAAAATTTTCTTTAACGTTTCAGCAGCTTTTGTACCATGGGGTTTTTGTTGTTGCTGTTGTTTTGTATTCTTAACTGAATATGCTGGCTTAAAAAAAAAAAAAAAAAGCATTCTCTTTGTACTGTAATGAATAAAAGCCCAATCAGCAGTTATTTCTTCACAGTCTGTCTATGTTCTGTTGGTCATCTTATGCAGTGGCATGGTTGTAAATATCATTATAAGCTCAAAACTTTAGTGTGTATCTCCATGTAAAAATCCTGTGATCCTCTATCTAATGATCTGCTTGCAGCCTGTTCCTGGACATCTAGTAGACATCACAGATTCAACACCTTTAAACTTCTCCTGAGCTTTCTTTTTCTTTTTTTCTTTTTTTTTAAAGATTTTATTTATTTATTTGACAGAGAGAGACAGCGAGAGAGGGAACATAAGCAGGGGGAGTGGGAGAGGGAGAAGCAGGCTTCCCGGCGAGCAGGGAGCCCGATGCGGGGCTCAATCCCAGGACCCTGGGATCATGACCTGAGCCGAAGGCAGACGCTTAACGACTGAGCCACCCAGGCGCCCCGAGCTTTCTTTAAAAAACTTCTTAAAAATAGGGCACCTGGGTGGCTCAGTTGGTTAAGTGACTGCCTTCGGCTCAGGTCATGATCCTGGAGTCCCGGGATCGAGTCCCGTGTGGTGCTCCCTGCTCAGCAGGGAGTCTGCTTCTCCCTCTGACCCTCTTCCCTCTCGTGCTCTCTATCTCTCATTCTCTCTCTCTCAAATAAATAAATAAAATCTTAAAAAAAAAAAGTTAAAAAAAAAAACTTAAAAAATAAATCTTATATTTTTTAGAGAAGTTTTAGGTTCACAGCAAAATTGACAATAAGGTACAGAGATCTCCTGTATATCCCATGCCCTCACATATGCATAGTCTCCCTCTTTATGAACATCCCCCTCTACAGTGGTACATTTATTATAATTGATGAACCTACAATGACTTGTTATCACCCAAAGACCATGGTTTACATAAAGGTTCATTCTTGGTGTGCATTTTATGGGTTTAGGTAAATTATAATGACGTGTCCACCATAATAGTTCATACAAATTAGTTTCGCTGCCCTAAAATTTCAGTTTCTGCTCTAAAAATTCTCCACTAATTGTCCCTCCCTCCTGCCTAACCTCTGGCAACTACAGATATTTCTATTGTCTCCATAGCTTTGTCTTTTCCAGAATGTTATGCAGTATGTAACCTTTACAAAATGGCCTCTTTGACTTAGTAATATGCATCTAAGTTCCTTCCTTGTCTTTTCATGACTTGACAGTGCTCTAAGTGTTGAATGATATTCCATCGTCTGGATGTACCACAGTTTATCCATTCACTTACTGAAAGACATCTTGGTTGCTTCCAAGTTTTGGTGATTGTGAATAAAGTTGCCTGTAAACATCCATATACTGGTTTTTGCCTGGATTATGTTTTCAGCACCTTTGGGTAAATACCAAGGAATGCAATTGTTGGATTGCCTGGTAAGCCTATGTTAGTTTTGTAGGAAACTGCCAGACTGTCTTCCAAAGTGGCTGTGCATTTTGCATCCCCACCAGCAATGAGAGTTCCTGTTGCTCTACATCCTTGCCAGCATTTGGTGGTATCACTGTGAGCTTTCTTTTCACTCTCCTCTGACCATAGCTTTCCCATTCTCAGTTGATATCAACTCCATTCTTCCAGTTGCTGAGACTAAAAATCTCAGGCTCATTCTTGACTCATTCTTTTTCTCATACCACAGAATCAGTCCCATAGGAAATCTGATTAAGTCTACTTTCAAAACATCATGAATCTGACCCCTTTTCATCACTATGCCTGCCCTTAGCCTGGGAAGAGCCACCATCCTCTACCCAAATTTCTGCAATGGTCATCTAACTGATCTTTATCCTATGCTTCTTCTTTTCCAGTCTTTTGTCAACTCTCCAGCCAACATGACCCTTTCAAAGTATGAATCAGGTAATGTCCATATTTGATCAAAACCCTGGAAGCACTCCTCATTTTACTTGGAGAAAATTCAAAATTCTCATAGGACCTTAAGGGAGCTTCACAGATCTTTAGCTTATGTTCCTCTCTGACTAAACCCTCTGCTTTACTCATCTAGTTGCATGGGCATAGATACCTGGCTTTGCTTGGCACATGACACTGGCCGATACCTGTGCTTGAATGATATGCTCAAAAATGCCACATGGCTTAATTGATCTTTATTCAAGTATTGCCTGAAGTTTCATTTT